ATATATAGTTAAAACGTCAGAGGCAGTTTGAATCAGTAAACATGCTAACTTTAGGAAAATGCAGAATGTATCCCTAATAAATGATAAACTGGAGTGTGAAGTAAGAGTTTTTTCCTTTCAATAATTAAATAATGAGGCAATAGCCGCGGCACTTGAAATTCTTTTAGGCAGCATTGGAGTAAATTAATCTATGAGACTTTTTGTTTTCATTTTTATTAGCTATATTTTTGTGCGCCAGCAACACCAAGCGTGGGGCGCGCGTACGCCTGATTCTATTTATTGCTCGTCTCTTTCTCTACGAGCCAACCCTCAAATTGAAATTATTTTAAGCAAGATTAGAGTAAATTAATCTATGAGACCTTGGGCGTGGTCAAATGAATTAATCGAAAGGATTTGACCTCTTGAGTCTAAAACTGTAGTTAGATCTCAAATCGACCAAAAGATGGCGGAGCTATGAGCTAAAAGTTTGTACTTGAAAAAAACTAAACAAACTCAGAGCTATTCTATAAGCTGCTATGCCGCGGCTAAAATTAATAACAACATTTTCGAAAAGGATAGAGCTAAATATTGAGATCAAAATGCAAAGAGAGAATATATATATATACTTTAGGAAGTTATCCCGAATGGAACATTAATTAAAACGCAAAACATCAGAGGCTTGTTTTCTAACACCTTAAAAGCCTTGCACATACATAGCCTTCTGGTAGTATTAACAGTTGTAACACTAAATCCATACACGTACACAAGGGGTTGGAGGGAGTTCGGGCGAACCCCTTATTTTTGTGATGTAAAAAATGTTTATATAGTTATAGCATAGCTGCTTATGGTATTTAACATTTTCTACATAGCCTACATTCTTCTGATGGAGTATTAGCATTTTTTGGCTTGAAATAGTCTCATGCAATGGCTTATATTAGCACTTTGTATTGGAAGTCTGAAGCTGTATTGCTACCTTCAGGTTTTGTAAGCCGGATTCTTTACAATAGGTATCTGTGACTTGTTGGCGATAAATTTCAACAGCAACATAAACAGAACACAGTTCACTTGTTTGAAAATAATATATTATGACAAGTCAAACATGTATATTAATATTTGTTGACCTTTCATTGGATATTTGTGGATTTTATGCGAACAGCCATGCAATTGTTTAAGATATATTTCATGCAAAATTGCTTCCAGAGTTAATCTCAAAGCACCTATTTTTTAAAAAATTTCTGGGGGGGGCATGCCCCCCAGACCTCAGTAGCATTAGAATGCTTTTCATGCTGATTGTGCATCCAAAAATATGTGTTGGCTTTTGATTTCACAAATTAGAACCCCTCTTTCAGACATTCTGCGTACGGGCCTGAAATCAACTGTTGTTTTTGTTTCTGTTAGTTGTTCCGTTAATTGTCCTTTAAAATACAGCCTCCCCCCCCAGTGGCACAGCGGTATGTCTGCAGACTTACAACGCTAGAAACCGGGTTTCGATACCCGTGGTGGGCAGAGTACAGATAGCTCATTATGTAGCTTTGTGCTTAAATACAAACAAACTTTAAAGTACAACGATTACGTCCTGTTAAAAATAAGACAGGCTTTCCGGTATCATTCAGTATTTCTTCATCAGTCTACGTTCACATTATTAAAAGGACCAATGGTGAGGACTATAGGTTTGTTGTAGTGTTCATGTGAATAACTTGAGACTAGCTTTCTTATATTAGAGATGTTAATGTAATCACATTTGAAGATCCACGATCTGAGCTCCTTTAGAAAATTTCGATTTTGAGACATCAGTATGGTCACAAAGAAAGATGTGACTGGTTCAGCTGTGTTTAAAATCAGTCTAGATATCTAGATGAAGACCTCTGGAGGCAACAGGTTGTGATACCGTCTGTCATGTCTTGCGTATGTCGAGTGACGGCAAACCCAATAAAATTTGAAACTCATTTTCTAGAATATATCAAATTGCATCTTAAGCAAACATAATTAACCTTCGTATACATAATCATAATCGTTATTGGATCTGGCGTCGAAGTAATATCATACTCACTCATCGAATACTTTTATACACGATCTCTAAACAAATGAAGAACTTAAACTTTCAGTGGCATGACTTGGGACAGACATCGTGATTAATGGGTTAACTCACGTGTCAAAACTGCATTTTTTATTTGTGTATTTACGTTAAGCCTGCTTCAAACATACTCTGGAATGCATGATGTTAGTAGAAAAAGTTAGTAGTTGATACATGTTATAGTAAAGGAAGCATGAGACTAGGATTTCTACACAGTAGTAAATACATGTTGTGGTACACGAGACGTGGCCCAGGTTCCTACACAGTAGTAGATACATGTTGTGGTACACGAGACGTGGCCCAGGTTTCTACATAGTAGTAAATACATGTTGTGGTGCACGAGACATGGCCCAGGTTTCTACACAGTAGTAGATACATGCTGTGGTGCACGAGACGGGGCCCAGATTTCTACACAGTAGGAGATACATGTTGTGGTACACGAGACGTGACCCAGATTTCTACACAGTAGTAAATACATGTTGCGGTACACGAGACGTGACCCAGATTTCTACACAGTAGTAGATATATGTTGTGGTGCACGAGACGTGACCCAGATTTCTAGACAGTAGTAGATACATGCTGTGGTGCACGAGACGGGGCCCAGATTTCTACACAGTAGTAGATACATGCTATGGTACACAAGACGTGACCCAGATTTCTACACAGTAGTAGATACATGCTCTGGTGCACGAGATATGACCCAGATTTCTACACAGTAGGAGATACATGTTGTGGTACACGAGACGAAGCCCAGATTTCTATGCAGTAGTAGATACATGTTGTGGTGCACGAGACGCGGCCCAGATTTCTATGCAATAGTAAGTACATGTTGCGGTACACAAGACGTGGCGCAGATTTCTACACAGTAGTAGATGCATGTTGTGGTACACGTGACATGGCCAAGGTTTCTACATAGTAGTAGATACGTGTCGTGGTACAGGAGACGTGGCCCAGATTTCTAC